CCAGCACCGGCCCAACCGGCTGCGGACAGCGGCTCCGGAAACGGCTGTCCCCGCTGAGCCGCATCGTCGGGGGACTGGTGGCGCTGCCCGGGGCTCACCCCTACATGGCCGCGTTGTACTCGCGCCACCGTTTCTGCGGCGGCAGCCTCATCGCCCCCTGCTGGGTGCTGACGGCGGCTCACTGCCTGCAGAACCTGCAAGTTCCTGCCCGCCCAGTGCCCCGCCCCAGACCCTAGCTCCTCTCCTCCGTGCCCAGCTTCCGCGTGACACCGAACCCATGCCCTACCTCCCCCGCACATCACACTTCCCCTCCCTCCACTCCAGAGCTCCTCAGGAGGAAGATGAAACCCAGGAAGGGGCTCGGGAGCAGGGGGCGTCCCCAGGACGGCTCTGGCCTATTCTGAGCGCACTTTCTCTCCCACACCCTGCCCACAGGCGGGCGCCCGAGGAGCTGACGGTGGTGCTAGGTCAGGACCGCTATAACCAGAGCTGTGAGCAGTGCCAGACGCTGGCCGTGCGCGCCTACCGCCTGCACGACGGTTTCTCGCCCACTACCTTCCAGCACGACTTGGGTGCGTGGGAGCGACCCCTCCGGGACCTGGGGCATGAGCGCGCAGGGCTCGGAGTCCCAGCACCCGGGTCTCACGCTCCTCTCCGCCTGGGTTAGCTCTGCTGCGCCTGCAGGAGAGGGCGGACGGCACCTGCGCCGTCCTGTCGCCTTTCGTTCAACCCGTGTGCCTGCCCAGCGGCGTTGCCCGCCCTGCCGAACCCGAAGCCGCGCTCTGCGAGGTGGCCGGCTGGGGCCACCAGTTCGAGGGTAGGCAGAACAGCTGGAGGTGGGAGGGAGACCTCTGGCCACCAGGATAGGCAAGAGAAGCTGGCAGCTTTGGTACCGCCTGGGACAGGTGGCTCTGACCTGGTGGGTTGTGAGGATGTGCAGGGCCCTTATCTCTGCAGTCCTCTCCTCCCAGGGCTTGGGATTCGCTGTTGGGAGTCCCCAAATCTCCTGAGGGGTACAAGGAGAATCACACTTTCTCTTGATTCCCTCTGAGCGCTGGGCTGCAGGGATAACTAGGATGCCGCCCTGCGCTCCATCAAGCTGGTGGGCTAGTTGGGGGGTAAGGTTCTGAGACACTGAATGGGAAGTGAGGTTCCAAAGCAGTCCTGCTTCTGCCCAGTCCATTCAAATCGCGGCTCCTCTCTGGCCTCAGTTTCCTTGTTTATGAAATGGTGTCAACAGCATCTCCTTGCCTCTCGGGCTTGCTACGAGGGAGGCGAGAGATTAGTGAGTGTGGAAGGGCTGGTGCAGCCAGGTCCTGGGGCAGGCCGAGTCCCGAGGGTGTGAGGAAGGCGCGCGCTCTCTGTTGGCAGGGGCGGTGGAATTTTCTAGCTTCCTGCAGGAGGCGCAGGTGCCGCTCATTCCTCCAGAGCGCTGCTCCGCCCCTGACGTGCACGGAGCCGCCTTCGCCTCCGGCATGCTCTGCGCTGGCTTCCTCGAGGGCGGCACCGACGCCTGCCAGGTGAGGCCTTGGGCCTGCTTGGCCCTCTCCACCTCGTCAGGTGCAGACCCTAGGCCAAGGGCTCTGAGCCGCATGTCCCCGACCCAGGGTGACTCCGGGGGCCCGCTGGTGTGTGAGGACGAGACCGCAGAGCGCCAGCTCATCCTGCGAGGCATCGTGAGCTGGGGCACAGGTTGTGGCGACCGCTACAAGCCGGGTGTGTACACAGACGTGGCCAACTATCTGGACTGGATCCGGGAGCACACGGCTTCCTGACTGCCCAGGGACTGTCTTTATCCCCTGGGCGATCGTGGAATGGGAGAGTGGCTGGGGCATGATCACGGACAGACGGCAAGGATTATGTTCCATTCCCCCAGCGCAGCCAGCAGAGAGCCAGGCATGGTGTAGGCACTCAATAAAGTGCTTTTAAAGATGCCTGAGAGGCACAGGTCTTCAGAGGTGCCGCTGGGTAATGCCAGGACAGTAAACCAGAGCACAACGTCTCCACACCCCTCAGAGAGCAGACTCTATTGAAATCTTATGCAAGATTGAGATTCATGTCCAGCTGACGTCCCTGAGCCGCATTGTGTACCAAGCCCTGTGCAAGGTGACACCACAGATTCCTCGTATGAAGCAGTAATATTTTAAGTTTATAGAGCAGCAGTTCTCAACCTAGACTTTACATAGAATCACCCAGGGAGATTTCTGAACCTATGCCCAAGATCCACCTCAGATCAATTAAATCAATGTCTCTAGGGAAGGGGCCGGGGTCGTGGTATGTTTTTAAAACTCCCCAGGTGGGCCGGCCCCGTGGCTTAGTGGTTAAGTGCGCGTGCTCCGCTACTGGGGCCAGGGTTCGGGTCCCGGGCGACACCGACGCACCCCTTGTCCGGCCATGCTGAGGCCATGTCCCACATACAGCAACTAGCAGGACGTGTAGCTATGACATACAATTACCTACTGGGGCTTTGGGGGAAAAAAAGGAGGAGGATTGGCAATAGATGTTAGCTCAGAGCCGGTCTTCCTCAGCAAAAAGAGGAGGATTAGCATGGATGTTAGCGCAGGGCTGATCTTCCTCACAAAACAAAACAAAACAAAACAAAAAAACTCCCCAGGTGACTCCCTGTGCAGCTGAAGTTGAGAAGCACGATGAGAAGTGCTTAAGATTGAAACAGTGGCGTAGGCCCACAGGGCTGGCTTGGTGGAAGACCCTCACCCCCTCCCCAACTTGCCTTAGGGCGGTGGGCCTCCAAGTGTGCTTCCTGGACCAGCAGCAGCAGCAGCGTGGCCAGGGAACTTGTTGGAAATGCATCCTCTCTGGCTACCTCCCATACTACTGAATCAGAAACTCTGAGCTGGGGGCCCAGCAATCTGTTTAACAGCTTTCCAGGAGATTTGCATGCTCCCAACGTTTGAGAACCACATTCTGGGGCCTGAATGGTTACCAGGCCCAGAGGTCTGGCTTTCCAGAAGTGGCATCTCTTTGTTCTTAAACCCATGCCTACTGTGCTTAACGGGCCATTTAAGTTGGTTTTTCCAGAGTTATTTTGACAATCAATAGGATTCCCTCCTTCAGGCTAACTTTAGGACTCCACCAGGTGTTAAGACACGAGCCTCCTCCCCCACATACACACTCTCCAGAGTAGGTAGCCGCTGTCGCCGTGCCTCAACGTCACAATCCCGCCCCCACATACGTCATAGTGCCCCAGGCGTTCCAGGCACGCGGCGCAGCCGGACATTCCTCGAAAGTGCAAGCTGAGGGGCGCACTCTGAGCCGGAATGGGCGACTGGAAAGGCTACATCAGCGCGGTGCTGCGGGACCAGCGCGTCGACGACGTGGCCATCGTGGGCCACTCAGACAATCGCTGCGTGTGGGCATCGCGGCCCGGGGGCCTGCTGGCGGCCATCTCCCCGCAGGAGGTGGGTGTGCTCACCGGGCCCGACCGGCGCACCTTCCTGCAAGCGGGCCTCAGCGTGGCGGGCCGCCGCTGCTGCCTCATCCGCGACCACCTGCTGGCTGAGGGAGACGGAGTATTGGACGCGCGCACCAAGGGGCTGGACGGGCGCGCCGTCTGCGTGGGCCACACGCCGCGCGCGCTCCTCGTACTCATGGGCCGTCGGGGCGTGCACGGAGGCATCCTCAACAAGATGGTGCATGAGCTGATCCAAGGGCTGCGTGCGCAGGGAACGTAGCAGGACAGCCAGGCGGCGCCAAAATAAAGTCTGACCTGGGCGTGGCAGACTCGTCCTCTGGTGGTGTGGGGGGTTGTTGCAGATGAAGAAACCGGTTTACTGGAAGATCTTTGCAGAGGGTTACTTGGGGGCGGGCTGAGATTATGAGTCCAGAGGCTTCCTTACGTCTCCCCAGGCCAGAGTCTCGGCATTTTGGCACCTTCTCAGGGTCCTAGAGACACCGCAGCTGAGGAAGAGTCCCAGGGAGTGGCCTTCTCAAACCCTCTAGCTGAGGCTTTACAATCCTTTCCCACAAAACTTTTTGCACATCTGTGCAGGACAAACAGTAAACGGAGTCCCCTCCCCCACTCCTCCACTCCTCCCCAGGCTGGAGGCCAGTGTGCCTCTCACTCCTGCCACTTGGCACGAGAAAGCACTAGCAAGGGCTGTGAGTGGATGACCGGGTGGGGCTGGGAGCTTGGAGAGCAGCTCTGGGGCTCCCAGATCCTTGCATCTCCCCCCACCTACCTCAAAGAGGGTGGTGGTGGGGAGGCTGATGTCTAAGACCATCACACATCACAGCTGGATCTGGGGCGCTACAGCTTTCCTGCCCCTTGGGTTCCAAAGGCCCCAGAGATATTCCTGGATTAGAGGGAGGAACTTTGCCACTCCCACCCCTTGATTCTCCCTCTGGAGGCCTCAGCCCCAGTGGCCCTATGTAGGAGGAACTGAAAAGCTTGGGTGGTTTTTTTTTTTTTTTTTAATTTTTTGTTTATTACAGTAACATTGGTTTATAACATTGTATAAATTTCAGGTGTACATCATTATACTTCTATTTCTGCATGGATTACATCATGTTCTCATGTTCACCATTGGGTGGGTTTAAATGAGGCCTGGTTTACTGCCCAAAGGTAGAGGACAAAGTTGGGAGAGTGGCTGGTCCCTGCCCCCTGTGTGCTAGGTCCCAGGGCATGGCCTCTCTTGCCCATCTCCACCCTCCCCCAGGGGCCCAAACAAGCCCCCACCTGTAACTTGTTTTCTGGAGAACTAATCTTATCCCAGGAAGAGGGAGGGAGTGAGGAAGGGAGGTGGGTGAGTCCAGAAGCAGGGAGAGACCAGTGGAGGTCAGCCTGGTGGGGTCCGGGGAGGGAGGTGCAGAGAGCCCTCCTCACACCTGCCTTGGGTGTGGCCCAGGGGGTCTGAATCAGGGATTGGACTCATTAAGGCAGGGCCAGGCGAATTGTTGGGGTGAGCTTGCAGGAGATAGTGCTTCTGGACCCCAAACCATGGTCTCTCCTTCCCCCCAAATGGAGAGCAAACAGATTTGCAAATGCACAATGAGAGTTTAATTCCTTTTGTTTCTCAGGCAGTGTTGGGGAGGGGGTTTGCAGCGGTGCTGTGGGAAACCTGGTGAGGATGAGGAGGATGGTATCAGGAGGAAGGAAGGTGGCAGGGAGGGGTGAGAGTTCAGCCTGTGACTCAGGCACCCACATCGTTGCTCCAGCAAACAGCTGCCCGTCACTGACTCAGACTCACCATCCTCCCGCCCAGCGCAGTCGGAGTTGTGTGTAATAAGGACACAAGCGCAGGCCTCCAAACACAGGTGCAAAGGACTTGAAACCTTACCCAGGTAGCCTGTAGCCTGCACACGGCCCCCCACAGGTGCGTCAGTACACACGTGCAGGCTGACACAGGCTCACCCATGCACACATACTGACTCTCAGTCACACAGGCTCAGACCTCCGAGGACCTGCATGAGGACGGCTGAAGGCCCAGAGTGCAGAGACCCCTCAGCCCTTCCACCCTGGGCACCAGGCACAGGCCTCTCCCCGCCGCAGGCAGCAGTCTGGGCCGCATTCTAGAAGCGGGTGGCATTGTGTTGGGCAGGCAGTGCGAGGCGGGGGGAGGGTGTGGCGGGGGGCAGCTCCTCCAGGAAGACCCTGGCAGGCAGCGGGGGTGAGCGGGGCTCGCGCCTGGCACAGCACAAGGTGGCGCGGGTGATGAGGCGGTCCAGGGGCTGCAAGGAGTGCATCCAGTGGGGCAGGAAGTCCCATGTCTGCAGCCACTTGGGCAGGCGCCCGGGGCTGCGACTCTGCAGCACGCTGACAAGCACCACGAAGGCCAGCAGGGCCCCAAACGGTGCGCCCACACCTACCATGGCCTGCCAGCCTGCCATGGAGATGCCAAATACCAGCGAGGGCAGCAGCAGGAAGCACAGGAGGAGGTAGAGGACAGCGAACCAGCGGTACTTGGCAGTGCGTTTGCCCAGCACCTTGGCCATGCAGATGGGCAGGCGTGTGCAGGGCACTGGGTACCATAGCAGGATGCCCGAGATGTTGAAGAAGAAGTGGCAGAGGGCGATCTGCAGGGGAGAGGGCGGAGGGGACGTGGGTCCCAGTTTCTGTGCCAGGCGGGTGGGGTAGATAATAGGGGCCCAGCCTGATGTGGGCAGCCTGGCCCCAGCCCCTGGCTTGTCAGTTACTTCTTTGCCATCTGCCCCCCCATCCTTGATTCCCCAGACTGGGCCAAGGGGGCTGATAGCACCCCTTCCTCAGAGTGCAGATCGCCATCTCTATTGCTTATTGGTGTGGTTCTCTGAATAATGTCTCCCTGTTAGATGCTAAGGTTCGAGGGTGGCACCAGGTCTACTTTGCCCGTGTGGTTTCCACAGAGCCTGGCATAGTGAGTGGCCCCTAGTAGGTAGTCAAAATCTGTTACATGTTGTCCCACTCTGGGTCAGGTGCCACACCCCAGTCCCAGCCCTGTCCTGCTTCTAGCGGGGCTACTCTCCCCGGCGCACCTGGAAGGCACTGGACAGCTTCTCCCGGGGGCTGGCCAGTGCAGCCAGGATGGCCGTGGTGGTGGTGCCAATGTTGGAGCCCAGCGTGAGGGGGTAGGCCCGCTCGATGCTGATCACACCCAGGCCTGGGGGGCAGAGGGGTAGGATACAGTCTCCCTAGCTCCCTGCTTCAGCCCTGTCCCTGCCAGCCCCGCCGCCCCCCCAGCCTGCCTTGGCATGGGCACTCACCTATGAGGGGGGTGATGGCCGAGGTGAACACAGAGCTACTCTGGACAACGAAGGTCATGCCAGCGCCCACCACCATGGCAAAGTAGCCCGTGGCCCAGGTGAAGGGGGCAGGGAAGTCTGTGAGGAAACCCGTCCCAGTATGGTCAGTGGGAGGGCGTTGGGAGGGGAGTGGGGACCTTCCTTGGGGAGGAGGTATTGGATGCCAGCTTCCAAGTGGAAGCTTGTCAGTCCCCTGCTCAGCTGCAGTGACTTCTGCTGGCTCTCTCTGATCTTGGATTAAGAACCTTCTCAGCCTGATTCCATCACGCTTTTGCTCAGGCTGTTCTCTGTGCCCAGGATATCCTCCTCACTCCTAAATGTTCACCCTCAGCATGGGTCTCGCTGCCGCTGGGAAGCCCTCCCTGACCCCCGGCCCTTGGGCAGACTTTGTTTCTCCCTCCTCCGAGCTCCCAGGGATCCATGGATGCCCTTATTCCAGCATTTGTCATGCAGCCTCTGCCTGCGCCAGGCAGTATCCTGAAAGCTCAAAATGAGGCTTAAAATGAAAATCAGATGGTGTCACTCCCCTGCCCACAACCCCCCAAGTGCCACTATTATAAAGCCTAGGCTCTGAGCACAGCCGGCGGGCCCCGTGATCTGCTCCGTCCATCTTCCCTCGCTGACCTCGCTCCACCCCCTCACTGAGCTCCCCCAGCACTGCTGGCCACCTTTCTGTGCCACAAACCTGCCCAGCTGGTTCCTGCCTCAGAGCCTTTGAACTGTCCCTTCCACCAGGAATGCTCTTCAGCCACATCTTGACTACTCCTCGTTTAGGTCCCTGCTCAAATACCTCCGCACAGAGGTTGCTGACCTCCCGTGGAAAGCAGCCTCTTCCATACCCTATTTGCCATTTTGGCTTTCTCATTGGCAGTTTCCTCTTTTTATCTGAGTTGATCGCCCCTTGATCATTTATTTTCATTGCCTGTCTCCCCCTCTGGGCTGTGAGCCCCCTGAGGGCAGGATCCATCCATATCCCTGGCACTCCATCGAGCTTGGCACACCAGGGGCTTAATGGCTGTTTGTTGATTGAATCAAACAGTGGCCTCTCAGAATCTCTTTAGAGCCACCTTCTAGAATAGAACCACAGCCAGAGGCAGCCACAGACAGCTAGCTGAGGCACCTCAGGGGCCTCAGAAAACAGCCAGTCCAACCTCTTCTTTGTTCACGTGGGAAAACTGAGGCTCAGAGCTGGCAGGGCTTCTCCCAGATCACACAGCAAGGCAGTGGCAGGACTTAGCGAGATCTGGAAGGGCCCATCCTCGGGCCTACACACCCACTGCTCAGGGCTCACCAGTGTTGATAACTTTCTGAATGACCTTGGCCACCTGGCCCTTGAGCAGAGAGTTGAGCATCTTGACGAGGAGGATGAGGCAGGTGCATAGGAGCACCAGGGAGCCAGCCAGCAGGATGAGCCCCACAGCCAGGTCGGGCAGCCCCGTGTCCACGAAGATGTGGTTGCCTGCAAGGCGGAGGAGTGTCAAGCTGCTGAGAGCTGACCCCCCCCAACTCGACCCCCAATCCCCCACCTTTGTTACCTCCTTGAGCTTGGAGCCTAAGGCTCCACCTTAGGCTCCTTCAGCCTAAACAGCAGACCTGACCCAAGCCCAGGGGCTGGGCTGGTTGGCAGCTGTCCTTCCTGGGGCTGGAAGCAGAAGTGGCCAGGTGGGGAATAGCCCTGCCTCTCCCAGGCTCTGCCCCCACCAGGCTGGACATACCCCACGCTGCAGGCACTCACATTTCTCCATGGTGGCATTTCCGAGGGTCCAGCTGGTGTTGGCCTCTGCCCTGGGGATAGTGGTAGGAGCCTAGATTAAGAGGAGAGTGACTTAGGGAATTTAGGGAAATGCAGCCTGGGGTTGGGGCTGAGATGGGGGCTGGCGGGATAGAGGTGGGCCTCCTGGCTACGTGCCCTTGGACAGTTCGCTTGCCCTCTCTGAGCCCATTTTCTCTGCTGAAGAGATGAGGATGAAAACCCCTGCCACACGAGAATCCGACCACGGTCTGCCTTCAATATTCTGCCCCCTCAGCCCACTGATCTGGCTCCTGCCGGGCCTGCAGGGGCCTCCTGCTCCGGTGGCTTCTTGTCCTTGTGTCCTTCCACCTCTCCTTGGCAGGGGATGCTGCTGACCCCGGCTCTCTTCTGAAAACTCTCCCTTCCCCATCTTTTATTACCAGTCCCTCTCGGTGCCCCCTCTTCCCCAGCGTCCTTGCCCCATCCTCTCCCACAAGGCACCCAGCCCAAGCTCCATTTTCCTCTTGCTCAGTTCCTTGTCCAGAGCGGGGCAGGGGCGGGGGACCACCAGTAGGCAGAGGGTTCAGGCCCCACATCTCTTCCCTCCCCACCTAGTGTCAGTGAAGTGAGGGGGGCTCCTGGGGAGGCCCCCCAGTTCAGAGGGCCCAGGGCCAGGCAGGTAGCCTAAGTGAGGGGCTCAGGCTGAGTGTGGAAGTGGTAGGGAGTGTGTGCTGGGCCTCCAGGCCACTGTAACCATCCAAGGACACAGCCCAGCATAGGCAAATGGCCCAATTCCATAAGAGAAATCACAACTCTGAAGTTTTAGATAAAATCTCCCAATCTGTAAATGTTGGCTACTCCTTTAAGACATACTTTACAATTCTGTGAAGGCTGGTCTGGCCGGGGGACCACTAATTTGTAGCCTTCTTGGGTTGAGGAGTTATTTTTAAAAATGCAACCTGGGGCTCCTTACCTTTCCCTCAGGATCATAGCAACCATCCAGCAGTGAGAAGAGAAAGTGGGCTGGGCTCAGCTGGGGAGAAGCCAACTCACAAAAGCGGGATGGAGCCCCAGAAAGGGGCAGTTACTCCCAGGGCCCCAGGCAAAATGCAAGAGCCACAACTTCTCCCTGTCCTCCACGTTCTGCCTCTTCTGGGTCCTGATATGGGCCCTGGTCCCACTCCCCCCAGAGCTCTGCATCCCACACCCCTCTGACCTCAGGAAGGGTCCTGGCACTTTGATGTTTACAGCTCCTTTGGGTTTTATTCTAAACTATGTGTCATTTAAAAAATATGTGATGGAGATAAGAATTATTTATGGCGCCTGGCTTTAAATCAGGGTTTATTTTAGTGGCATGTGCTCCCTTGAGTGGGGCAACGTGCACGTCTGTATTCCCAGCTGAGCACACCGGGGCCTCGGGACACCCTCATGTCCAGGCCAGAATCGCAGGCAGAAAAACCGGGAGAAGATCGTCTCAGATGGGCTCAATTGGAAAAGCCGGCTGGGAAAGTGGTGGTAAGTGCTGCACGGGCGAGGGAGAGAGCCAAGTGTTTGCTGTCAGGCAGATCTGAGTTCAAATCCTGCTTCTTATACCAACTGCCTTGGGCAAGTCATGCCACCTCTCTGAGCCTGTTTCCTCTAAAGCAGGATAATAAAAGAGCTGTTGTAAAGCTTACAGGAGAAAGTGCGTGTGAAGCCTTCACCATACGGCTTAGCTCCTGACAAGCCTTCAGTACACTGTGCCTCCTAATAAGCATCAGACCCGTCTCCCTCCTTGGGCCCATCTAGGATCACACTATGTGTGTGTGATTGACTTCCTAGGTCAAGATCAAGGGCTCCTGCAGTTCCTGGCCCTACTGGGGAGGAGCGTGGTGGACCTTCCTGGGGTCCCCGGCCTGGAACCCTGGAGGCAGATGACCCCCCTGAGATGAGTGGATGCCTGACCAGCCTGTGCCCCACTGACCTAGTCTGGGCTGGGCCCAGGGGTCTCTTGGGGGAGGGGCCTGTGGGACCCTGGGGAGGCTGGAGGAGGATAGGAGCTTTGCTGGGGTCCCACTCGGGGCTGGCAGTGTCGGGGCAGGGCCAGGCTGAAGGCTAGCACCTCTGGGGTTTTGGAACCTTGGCCTTCCTGCCTGGGGTTGTGTGGCCCTGGCTGAGCTCACGGGTGAGTGCAGAGACTGTAAAGTGCAAGAGAGGAGTGTAGAGGCAGCAGGGGAGGAGAACCAGCCTGGGTGTCAACTGCACAGCCAGGCTGGGTGCGGGAGACTGAGGGGAGGGAGCAGGCCTGGGGCTTCCTTGCCAGCAGAGGGAGAAGGTGGAAGCTCCAGCCTAGGTAAAGAGCTGGGGGGCCCAGAGTCTGGGGCATACCTCCAGGAAATGCTCTTCGCTCCTGGGCCTGGGGGCAAGATGGAGGTGAGGTGGAGGAGTGGGAGGGGGACATGGTGGGGGTGGTGAACTCTGGGAAGAACAGAATGAATAAGCCTCAGACAGCCTTGGGCTCAAACACTTGCTGAGCCACTCTCAGCTGTGTGACACTGGACCAAACACATAACCTCTCTGGGCCTCAAATTCCTCCTTTGCAGTGTGAGGTCCATAACCGTGCCCACTTCTCCTCAGGGGCTAGTTGTGAGGAATCTTGGAAGAGAGAGTTGGGATTTAAGTGCCTGCAGAGCCACCCCAAATTAAGGAGGCACTGGGAACTGAAGGAGATGATTAAGCTTACAGAGGAACGTCGGCCTCCAAGAATCCTTCCCTGGGGAGAAATGCTGGGGATATGGGCCCGCGCAGTAGTCTCCCCTCCAGGGGAAGGGGAGTTCCAGGGTCTTTGTTTTTCTGGAAGCAGCGGGAAATCACTGTGCCCGCAGCGCCATCTGGTGGTGAAGAGTAGAACTCCTGGGAGCACCACTTACCACCCCTGGAGCTCTCTGCAGGGGGACTGTGGTCAGCTGGTGGCATTCAGGCCTGATGGGCAGAGCGGGAAATAGACAAGTATGGTGGGACACCAGACTGGCAGCTGGAAGAGGCAGCAAGATGAGGATTCAGGAGCACGGGCTCCAGATTCCACCAGGATTTTCATCCTACCTCAATAGCATGGACTTGGGCAAGCCTCTCTGAGCCTCAGTTTCCTCATCTGTAAAATGGGAATGTGATAATCCCTGCTTCCCAGGCTGCAAGTCCTCAAAATATCTTGTTTAAACCAGGGAGGTATGGTTGACAATCCAGTGTGACCACACAAGAAGGTAATTCTCAGGATAGGGTCAGACCCCCAGAATGTTGAGAAGTGTTGGGACACTAAAACTGCCTCTGGTTTTTCTTTCACCGTCTGGAAAACCTCAGACTCCTAGTCCTTTCCTTGGTGACATGGTTCCCTGGAGACTGGTTCAGGTGAGGTCAGGTCCAGCTTGGTGAAGGCTGGATGCAGCGAGGACAGGTTGGAAGGGAGCACACAGAGACTCGGATACTGGAGGAAAAACTTGAGTCTTCAGTGAGCACGTTCCCACGGGGCCATCCCAGAGAGAGGGGAGACCAGGGAGCTCAGATCCCACCACCTAGCTACTCTCCAAGCCAAGAAAATCTGCCAGACACTACTCTTAAAGAAAGGGTCTTGGGGAGGTGGGACGAGAAACCAGTGCTCAGGGGAGGGGCAGCTGGAGCCAGGACAGCCCTAGCTGGTGAACTCAGGCGGTTCCTGCATGTTGCCGAGCCCCACGTTCCTCCAGTCTGCCTCGCCGGCACCATGTGAGGACCCCATCCCGGGAGGGTTAGGTTTGGTGGTGCATGCTGCGAGGGGAGACCTGCGGAATGCAGCTGCAGGTGGGCAGCGGGGATTTCAGAGCAGGCGAGGACCGTCTTGGCCGAGCAGCTCCCTTCCAGGTCTTGTTTTTCCTGAAGATCAAAGTGTGTAATTTCTCTCACTTGCAGGTTTGCTATGAGGTAGAGAGGATTTTGACTGTTCAGAGAGCTCTTGAGCAGGTGGAGATGTGTCAGAGAGGCCACAAAGCCTGCACAGAGGCTGCCTTTATGGGCTTTTTGATGTCAAACTGCCTTCAACACTCAGAAGGGCCGAGCTGGAGCTGTGCGCCACTCAGACGCAAAGGAACCTCGCCGGGCGGGTTGAAAGGATGTTCTCTGTTCACGCCGGGATAAAGGTCCAGCAACATCAAGTAGCGAGTGAAGATGACGAGGGGGAAAGGCGTGGGCTCTGAGTTTCCTGACCTCTTGTTCTAAACGGAGTTCCTTCTTGTGTGTAATAATTAAGGGAAGCAGATACTGCAGATTCGGGTTTTGATGAAGCATTTTCCTTTTTACGGCTGAGTGAGAAAGTGTGATAATTGCTTGCTTCCTTGTTAGCTGGGTGTAACGGCCAGTCCACAAGTGTCCAGCTGATCCAAACAGACCTTCATTCTGGGCAGTAGAAGCCGGGAAGCAGCAGGAACAGTGCAGAAGGACAGGAGGACGCACGCCTGTGGCAGTGTCCAGGGAAGGAGCCCCGATGTCAGCACAAGTGGCTGTTGTGTCTCCAGGGAGGTCTCTACGTGGCCCACTTGTCCTGCTCCTGGGCCCGTTTCCTATTAGTCCTACTTTCCTGGGCATCTGACAACTCTCTCTCCACCCTTCCCCACACCACCTGGGCCCCAAAACACGACAGAGCTGTGATTAACTCCGCTGGTACCCTAGTCGGGAAGAGAGCCCTAGACTGCCAGACCCGCACTCGGGCCCTGAAACAACAGGACAGCTCTGGCAAGTTTCTTAGCCTCTTGGAGCCTGTTTTACTACCTGTGAAACCAGAGGCTTGAGCCAGATCAGTGATTCCCAAACTTGCGTGTGGGACAGACCTGGAGGGCTTGCTGAGAGAGGTAGGCTGCCAGGCCCTACCCCCAGAGATTTTTGATTTAGTAGGTCTAGGGAAGGGCCCAATACTTTGCATCCCTAACAGGCTCCCAGGTGGTATGAGTGCTGCTAGTCCACACTTGGAGAATCTCTGGGCTAGATGGGTTACATGCCAACTCTGATTGATTGGTAATGGCTGCCTAAAGCTTCTGGGAGGACTTAGCAACGTCTGCTATCCACACAGTATCACAGTAAAAGTGCCACATACTTGCAGTCCCCAGGCTAAGTGATCTCTGGGTCTATATGGAGCATTTTGAACAGATGATGACACTAACAGTCAGCTGTCTAAAGAGGGTGTCTTCTTACCTGGGGCCAGACCTGGGACTCACCTCTGTGGGGTCTGGGTGGCACCAGATCCGAATGAGACTGTGGTTCCTCAGGGACTCATCACCAGTGGCGATGCTGGTAATCACTGACTTATCCAGCTGTGGGCAAGATGTGGATGGGAGGAGTGAGGGTGGGCCCTTACTATCCCCCTGCCCCAGCCCCATGCCAGCCCTGCCCCCACCTGGATGATGAGTTTAGTGAAGGGCTCTGTGATGATTTTGAGCACATCAGGGGCATCCCGGCCACCGCGGATGTTGAAGGAGGCCACCACGAGTCGAGTGATGTGGTGCAGGTACCCGGTGGCGGCCTCCAGGGGCAGCAGGACCAGCACTGACAGCCAGTTAAAGCAGTCGTGCACCGTGGCCCCCGCAAAGGCCCTGAGCGGGGAGGCCACGTTGCAGGGCAAGCCAGAGCCAGGATAAGCTCCCACTGGGGCTCCTGGCACCTGGGACCACCCTCCGCCAGCCAGCACCAGCCCCTCACCACTCTATCCCCTCACCGCCTGAAGTCAGTCCTGTCCCCGGCTTGCATCAGGGCCACGATGGTGTTGGTCACGGAGGTGCCGATGTTGGAGCCCATGATGATGGGGATGGCAGAGCTCACCTCCAGCACTGGTAGAAGAGGGGACCTCTTAACTAACGGGGTGGGGCCATCCAGCTCCTGCCCCCACAACACCTCCTGCCAGACCCACTACAGCGAGCATTCCCACTATGCTGCTGACTCTGCCCAGCCTCGGGTCACAGGGACGTGTTGGGCGTGTGCTGTGTGTTTACCTGTGTGCATGCATGTGAACTGATGTACACGCACTGCACCTGCACGTGTGTGGATGTGTGTATGTGAGGGCTCATATCCTATATGCATATGTGTATCTGTGCTTGTGTGTGCACGAGTGTGACGGTCAGTTTTACGTGTCGACGTGGCGGGGCCACAGGCCCCAGCTATTCGATCGAGGTGTTGCTGTGAAGGCGTTTGCAGATGTCGTTCACCCGTGCACTCAGGACGGGGAGTACAGGCGAGGAGCCTCCGCAATCTGGATGGCCTTATCCAATGAGATAAAAGGCCTTGCAAGCAAAACGGAGGCGCTCTCAGGAAAAAGAAATCCCACCTGTCCACTGCAGCACCAGCTTCTGCCCAGGAGTTCCAGCTCGCCCTTCTCTACCAATTTCGGACTTGCCTAGCCAGCCTCAAAATCACACAAGCCAATTCCTTGCAGTAAATCATATATACATATATATCCTACAGGTTTTGTTTCTCTGACTTCTCTGGTTCTGCTTCCCTGACTGATGGAATGAGTGACCGCGTGGCGATACGGAGGGGAGTCTTCCTGGGGTTGTGCTCCCCAGCACTGAGAAGTACTACCCTTCTTAGTGCCTGGGGCACCCCTCCTGGATGAGACTCCCAGCCATGCTTTGGAGGACAGAGTGGGAGATACCGGGGCTCTGCCTTTGCCCTCAGCCCGTTGTCCCCACTCCTGCCCCCTGTGCCCCCACCCTGACATACCACCCCAGCCCCCTGTCCAGCACACCCAGCCCCCCACGGTCTTTCCCTGGCCCTGGTGGGCCAACTCACAGCCGGAGGAGACCATGCTGACGATGATGGACGTGGAGGTGCTGGAGCTCTGCACCAGCACGGTCACCAGGATCCCCACCACTAGCCCTGCCACCGGATTGGATAGGATGGCATTGTCCTTGAAGATGTCACCAGCCACCTTCCCTGGGGAGCATGAGCCAGTGTTGTCCGAGGCCCTTCAGAAACCCTTTCCGACTCCCCAACCCAGGCCTTACCTCCAGCCAGCTGGAAGGCTGAGCTGAGCACATCCAGGGAACAGACGAAGAGGTAGAGGAAAGCGAGCATCAGCGGCACCTTGAGGAGTGTCGCGCCAGCCCGACGCAGCTGCTGGGCCAACCCGGGCTCTAGAGATGGGCCAGCCTTGAGCACGGTGGCCTGGGCACTGGGCCAGCGACAGCTGATGCCCCTGCCGCCCCCTACCCAGGCCCACCTGGCTTCTGCTCTTCCTCCAGGGCCAGCTTGCCAGGTAGTGGGTCATGGCGCTCCAGAACCTCCCCATAGGGACAGCTGTGCTCGGCAAGGGCCACGGGGCCCAGGCTGGGAAAGGCATAGGCGGAGGTCCCTGGGACCCTGTGCAGGACTGGGGAGGGAGGCTGGTCAGGAGTTCCCAGAGGCCCCAGGGCCTGAGGAGGGTGGGAGGGGTTGAAGCCTCCCCCTGGATGTGGGCGGCTGTGGGCAAGCAGGGTCCAGGGTGGGAGCAGCACTCACCCTGCGGGCTGGGCACATAGGCAAAGGCCGGCCCGTGCATCATGTGACCCCCGCGGACTGGGAGTGGGGAGACCGCCGGGCCCCCCAGCCTCTCTCCGTAGGACATCATCCTGGGCACACGCTGTGGGGCCTGCACGTCAGGGGGCCGCAGCAACACTGAATGACAACTGCTGTGTCATGGAAACATACACACTCACACCCACCCCACATCCACACACTCACATGCACAAACATCCATGATGTGTGATCCCAGATACACACCCAGCAAAGCACACCTCCACCCCCCCTGAGAGATGCACACTCAGGTGCTCATCATTCATTCATTCATCCAGGAAGTATTTATTGAGCATCTACTCTATCCAGGCACTGAGCTAGATGCTGGTGTACAGTGGAAACCAAATCCAGATGCAGCTCCTGCCCCCAGGGAGCTCAAAATCTAGTGGGGAGACAGATGCCAATGAAATAATCCCTCGGATGGAAAATGGCAATGGGGACAAGTGTTCTAACGACAGATACAGTGCCACCAGCATGTCCCATGGCAGGGGTGGGCTCTTGGGGAAGGGAAGAGAGGTCATGAGGATGGAGAGGGGAGGGGCCGGGAACATGTGGCAGTAGCGGAGGCTGTGGTGTGGCCGGGGCTGTGCTGCGCAGGAGGAGATTCGTCCACCCTGAGAGCAGTGAGGAGCCATGGACACCTGCTTGCTTGTGGAACCAGCTGGGCACACGCTCAGAGGAGGGCCCACTGGCCCAGATCCCGAGTTCCTGGGTTCTCCTCACAACTGAACTTCTTTCCCCCTCCAACCCTGCCCCCCCGGAGCAATAAACAAATACTGACAGCCTTTCTTCCACAAACGGGGTTCAGACCAGGACTGGTCTAGGTAAGAAGGGCCCCCCACCCTGTCCTCAAGTCTGGGAAGCCCCCGGCTTGCTTTAAGCCCCCCTGAACTGCCCCGGGAGTTCTTGGCCGTTGAGATGGGAGTGCCCTAGGCTGCTTCAGTGCCCCCACACCTGCCCCCACCCCAACATTGTTCCAAGGGTCCTTGGCTGTTGGGGTGGCGGCTGTGCAGAGCTGAATCCCAAGCCCTGGAAGAACCGGAGTCCTTTTCACTTTGGGGGAGAGAGTCAGGCTGGGCTGGGACTGAGATGTCACAGGGGCACAGTTAGGACAGAGGTGAGGGGTTTGGGATGATGAGCTCTTTCCTACTATGAGTTGGGGATGGGGTTGGAACAAGGGGGCCCTAGGCTCACCTTGGGGTTCTATGTTTCAGCTTCTGCTCAGCTGCTCAGGGAAGTCCCAGGGGCCTGAGGAGGAGCTGGGACACTCCTCTTTATTTCCTCGGGTCAAGGGCAAAGTCCCTAGAACCCTAGCTGCCCTCCCTATGTTCCCCGATTAACCTCACCCCCGAGATTCCTCCCAGTTAATTGCTAATCGTCAGCTCTGCAGAGGGAATCTGTGGTCAGCCTCTCCCTGCCCCCACACAGGCACTCAGCCTGAACCACAACCCAGACACAGCGAGGGCACAAACACGTCCCCTGCCCCTAGGCAGAGACCTGATGCCACTCAGGCACCTTGTTTCCAGGGTCCCCAAAGAGATTCCATGGCTCCTGCCCCTTCCCCTCATTCTTGGCCTGACAGTGCTCCCCAGGGAGTGACCCAAACATCCTGTGGCCTTGCCATGCATCTGGGTGTCTGTGAGTCTTTCTGTTACCGGCACACTGGGTTCTTGTTGTCCCCCAGGATGGAGATCAAGAGACAACAAGCGGGAGTAGGAAAGTAAAAGTTTGTTAGCTTGTGCACAGGAGAGGCACAAGGGAGCCGGTGTGGAAAGGAAAGGGGCAGGTGACCGGCTCATCAGGGAGCGGGATTCTGGGGCTTTTATTAGGAGAAGGCTGGGGAGGAGTGCCTTGTCATGGCATGTAGAGGTGGGGTTGTGCTTGCGCCTGCGCTGTCCTGTAGCATGCTACTACATGCGATGCGTGTATCATTAGCATGCTAGCTCTCCACCCCTGGGTGTGATTTTTACTATGCTAATGGGGCTAGGGTCACCTTCAGTGGACTCCTGGGTGCTAGGGCGCATGCGTAAGCCCGAGAAAGTCCCGAAACAGTGGAATGTGGGTCTTGGTGGTCTCTATCTGATTCTCCTAGCTTGCCGATTGGTTAGGGGCCTTATCTTGTTAGGCTAGATGGCCCTATCTCATTAGGCTGGTTCCTGTCTCATGTCTGTGTGTCTTGGGGGTGTTGGAGGAGAGGGAGTGTGTGATGGAGGAAGCAACAGGAGACAAACCCAGAGAGAGTGTGTAGTGTTGAGTCACGGAGAGTCTCCAATGCCCGAACACGGATCCAAGATGTGAGTCTAAGAGAATGTGGAGACTCTGGCCAGACCAGGAAGGGCCTGGTGTGCATTTTAGAAGGGTCCCTCTGGCAGGGGGTGGTTGGGATGTGTCACAAGGAGCAAATCTGGAAGCAGAGAGACCAGTTAAGAGGCTGATGAGATGGTCCAGGTGAGAGATGATGAGGTATGAATCAAGGTGGGAAGAGGAGGGATGGAGAGGAGAGGAGGAATCCCCGGGATACTTTGGACAGTAGAATTGGTGATGGGGAGGGCAGGAGGGAGAGGAAGTATATGACAATTAGTTTTCTGGATCGGGAAGCTGATGATATGAGGTCTGTTACAGAATTCCTGAAACCCAGAGATGGGTTTTAAGGAGGCTTTGGAAAGCTTATTCCCCTTTCACAGGACTATGGAACCTGAATTGGGGCCTAGATTCATAGAGAGATGAGAAAGTCGCTTCCCTTCTAAGGGGTTAAGATTTGATCAGATCCAGCAGTGGTGGGTTCCATTCGAGATCTAGCTTGGGCAACTGTCTGAGTAACCTGCCTGACATTATCACCCATCTATCCATCCATTCATCCATCCATCCACCCATCCATCCATCCATCCATCCATCCATCCATCCATCTGGTTCATCCATCCACACGTCCATTTACCTATTCATCCACCCATCCATCCATCTATCCATCTATCCACCCATCCATCCACCTATTCATCTATCCATTCATCCACCCACCTACCCATCCACCACCCATCCATCTATCCACCTAGCCAGCCGGCCAGCCATGTGTCTATCCATCCATTCCTAAGCACATTAGTTGAGTTCCTACTCTATGTTGAGCCAAGATTGGCAAGATCAGCTTCTTGCCTGATCCAAGCAATGGTCCAAGCAATCCCTGAGCCAGCTTGGAATTCTGAGGCAAGTTACCTCACTTCCCTGAGCCCTGGTCCCTTCACCTATAAAATGGCGTTAGCATGGCTTTTTCAATGAGTTGTAGAATTCAGTGAGATAAATAACCCATCTCGGTGCCTAGAACAGAGTTTCTCAGCATGTTTGTTCTCTTCATGCTCTCATGCCCTTTTCACTGTCTCCAGGATGGCTCAAGTGTCCTGGCCAAGGGAATGGCCTCACCTCCTCTAGGTTCTCAGCCTTGTTTCAGGTCAACAATTCCTCTTGGCTCACCAGTTGCCCTTTGATTGCTCAGAGTCCCTTGAGCAGCAGTCCTACTCAACATCTTCCATATTTTAGGGTGACACAGACTCAGCCTTTTCCATCAAGGAAGATGGACCATTCTGCATAGTTCCTCCTTTAATGTGACAAAGGTTAACTAATCAATGTTTAATTCACAGAGCATTGTGGAGTCGTCCACTGCATAGTGTTCACAGTGGACTCTCTGTTGAAGTGGCTAAGAGCAGGGAAGAAGGCCAGCCTGGTTTGGATCCCAGCTCCACCACATCATGGTTGTGTCAGTTTAGGCCACAGAACCCACAGGGGAGAGAGGAGGGGTAGGGGGTGGAGGTGCAGCTGGGATTGGTTTTGGGTGGAGTGACCGTAAGTCCTGTTTGCCTGGCCAAGCCCTGGTTTACGACTGTTGGCCCAGAGTCCCCTTCTCTCTGAAAAGTGCCCTGGTTTGGGTAATAAGCCATATAATCTTATGGCTTGCTCTGAGAGATTCCAGGGAACTGAGGCAGGGAATCAGCCACCTGGTGCTTCCTAGAAAGGTCTCCATTCATTAGCAAAAAGGAAAATAAAAACAATCCTCCTTCTCAGAAACATCTCTGTGACAATTTAGAACTGCCTTTTGTCATTTTCCCCTGTGCCTTTTTAACCTGCTTAGGATTTTATTGTCTATAAAAGACCACATCTTGTTCTTTTTTCCTCTACCATCGTATCATAAGCCTTTTCCTTGTCTTTACAGCTTGGCACAGATGTTGTTTTCAATGGTTGCCTCACATTCCGTCACAAACCCTAATTTACGTAGTGAACGCTTGGGTGCCCTGGAACCTCTCCAACCTGGAGGACTGATTTGGGTGAGGCTAGTGTTCGTGCATGTGTGGGAGGGGTGTCACTGAGCCAGGGAAATGTAGTACTGAGTTCTTGTTTTGGAATCATCCTTGGGCTCAGAGGCCTTGTTAAAGTCACATTGGGGACGGGCTCTGAGGCTGTCTGGGTCTGAGCACCCCCACCCACAGTGGGTCTAGGGACCCCGACCACGGGCCCTGTTCCTCTCCTCTCTCCTGCCCTGCTCCAGTCACACCCTGGGCAGGAGCAGCCATATCCAAGGTGCTCCCCAGGAACCGGGGGTGCTTCTCCCCTGTTTTTTTTTTCTTTTGCTATGGAAGATTCGCCCTGAGCTAACATCTGTGCCAATCTTCCTCTATTTTGTATGTGGGTCACCACCATAGCATGGCTGATGGGTGGTGTAGGTCTCTGCCTGGGATCCGAACCCACGAACCCAGGCTGGCGATGTGGAGTGTGCCAAACTTAACCACTACACCATGGGGCTGGCACCTCTCCTGTTAAATAAGGTTAGGATTTTTGACAGTTTTGAAGTCTACTTTCCCTGCTCTCACGAAGCCTGGAGTTTAGTAGGGGAGGCAGTTGTCGGTCAAATGCTTCATAAGAGATATAATTACAAAATGCCATGGACGTCCACTGCTTCCAAAACTATTTTGGGAGGGGATGGGGCTGCTAGCGTCCTAGTGAAAGCACGGAAACCCGGGAGCTGACCAGAGCTGCTCTCAGGACTCCTGGGAGCAGCAGGGAAGGTGGCCACACTTCAGCCCCCAAGCGTCTCAGCCCCTTTGTTCATCTCAACCCCTCCTGCACACTGCCTGCTTCCTCCCCGTCCGTGACAGACTCTGTGTCCCCCTGAATGGTGACTCCTGCACTGTCTGCTCACCTGCACTCTGACCACAGCTCCCCCACGCGCCTGGCCCCGGAGCCTGGGTGGTTGACAGTGCCTCATATTAAGAAAAG